TGGATAGGACCGTCGCGCGTCAGTTTAAAGGAGAGCCACCCCATAGCGCTACGTGCCTGCGCCAGAGCGTGCCAGGAGAAGGAAGCGGTTGGCTGGCCGGGCCAGACGGGTTTCCCAGACCAGAGCCCGCTGGGGCGTACTCTGGGGCGGCTGCACCCCTATGTCAGCGCGGCGCGCCCACTTCACAAGAACACTTGCAAGAACGACACTCATGCTTTCGCGCTCACAACTCATAAGAAGTGCTTAGGTGTACCTCGAGCCTCTGTTCGTTACAAATATAGTTTAAAAGAAAAAAACAATAGTAATGTTTTAGGGGGTCACAAATATTGCTCCATGGCTGAGCTACCAAAATTGGGATTGAAAGTTGTCCTACAATATTTTCAAAACACCTCAACTTTGAAGATATATTTTGAATGACAGAGAATAGCGATAGCATTCTGGAATCATGCAGCCACTATGAGAGGTGAATTCCCAGCTCTAAAGGACTTGACACAATAGGCTGATAGTAAGATGAAGCTTGCAACGCTTACACAATACAGTGGAATCTCGATGATACGATTCTGGGTGATACGAATTTTGGGATGATACGAATTTTTGAGAAGTCTTGGCGAAATTGCATTGATTCCAATGGGCAAAATTTCGGCTGTTACGAACGGACCTGCGTAACTCGGTGGATGATACAAACGACCCGGCAAGGAGCTGACGCAAGGACGAAGACCTCCAGATCAGCCTGCTGGACGCTGTGTGCTTCTTAGCCGTGTCGTGGGACCGAGTTACTGCGAACAGGATCTCTAACTGCTTCCGCAAGTGTGGCTTTTTCAGCCCCGCAATGACAGCGTCTCCAGAGCCTGAAGAGCCACCGGCTATGAAGAGTAAGACCAGCTCGGCGTGGAATGCTCGTCGCACAATTTTATCACCGTCGACGACGACCTCGCCACTTGCGGTACCCGGACGATCGAAGTCATCGTCGACGAGATGAAGGAGCCGGAGCAGCAGTCGGACAGTGACATCGAGGACTGCGGCGGAAGTGAAGAAGCACCGTCGACGAGCGAAACCCTGCATGCCCTTGACGTGTTGCGGCATGCAGTGAGCTTGAGCACCGTGAGTGAGGAGACGAGCGCCAAGTTTTACGCGCTCCAGAAAGGACTGCTCGGCGACATGGAAGTTAAAAAAAGGCAGAAAAACATCACGGATTTCTTCACGCGAAAGTAAGCAAAGAAATATATGAACTTTTTTTTTGTGCTCAATTTTTTGGTCTGTGTTGGTTCATACGAATTCCGGATGATACGAATATTTTTCGCGGTCCCGCGAGATTCGTATCATTGAGATTCCACTGTACTTCGAAGTAACAGGCAACCCTTAAAAACCAAAAATTCATGTCTGCAAAACGAGATCAGTCAGTTGATTTGACAACAAAGCTTTAAAAACAAGATGGCTCTGATGTGCAAGGCACAATGGTGTTCATGAAGCAGTTCTAGAGGGCAACTAAAGACATGTCTACAAGCATCTACTTCACTATGCAAACAGATTAAAAAAAACTACTGCTTCATTCCACAACAAACCAAGCCAAGAGAAATAAGAACACAAAAGCTACTCAAGGTGCTCATAGCTGCATAGCAGGTGCAAGCATTTTAGAATGAGGTTCACAATAGTTGGAAGGCCGAAGAGGAAAAAAAAGGAAGCTTTAAATCAAGTCTAAACAAGGCAGAACTACAGCCAAACACAGCGATGTGATTGGCCTAAGCCGTTTTGGAGCACCTTCTGGAGCAGCCAAAACAGAGTTTTGGAGCAGAAAAACTGGCTTTTGGATCAGCTAAAACAGTGTTTCGGAGCAGCGAAAGTGGCTTTTGCAGCAGATATTCTTAGAAAAGAAAAAGATATTCATTTCAAGTGGTGGACAAATGAGGGACACATTGCTCGCCGCAATCAAACAACTATTGTCAAGATGGACCACCTGGGAGCCTTTCAACATGTAACTGAAATGCCAATGACATGACACATTTTGCAATGCTTCAGTTAAATGACAAAAATATATCAGACCAAACTGCACATATTAAAATTTATTTGAAAATGACCAGCTTAGTAGTAAATATCACATCATTAGGTTGACTAGTAATATAATAAATGGAAGCAGTCTCCAACAGATGAAACACGTTACTGCCGTGCAATGCGAAATTGTCGCGCGAGCGAAGATGGCTGTTCGATCGAAACCATGCCACTCCGCTCCGTCTCCAACTAATTCCCAAAATTCTATGCAAAATGTAACTGTCCAGCATACAAAAAAAAAAAAAAAAAAAAAAAAAAAAAAAAAGTCCAGCGGCACGTGTTTGCCAGGCTGGCAGGCAAGGTACAAGCTAAACAAAAAAAAAAAAGAGAAAGCCGTTTACAACACCCTGTAACGCCGAATTAGAGCGCAGCTCTTGAAGAGGAGGGAGGGGTACTGAGGGGAGGGTACACCCCTCCTTCCTCCTCCTCCCCTCGTGATCCTGCTTGCTGCTACACCTCCTCCTCCCACCCCTCCTTCTCCTTCATGTCCTGCTCCTCCCCTCATCCTTCAACCTCCTCCCCCATCTCCTCCTCCCTCCTCTCCCACCTCCGTCCTACTCCTGTCCTCCTTGGGAGGGGTCACATGACCCAGGGGGGGGGGGGGGGGTCACGTGACCTTGCGGTTATGCCGACGGCGACGCCGCTCCAGCCGGAAACAAGCCCCTAAGAGCTGCGCTCTAAAAGAACCTGAGCGCATTGATGCAAGACATCGCGAGCCAGGGTCAAAAAATTCTTGGAGCGCTTCGTGCAACGACTGAACTCGAGACAAATAAGCACAATGTGCGGGTTCAGCATGCGGACATTGCGTTCTTTGCTTTAGCTCACTTCTCTTCACCAACTTTCTTTCGCGGCTGATTTTTCACATACCGGGCTACGTCTCGAAAGAAAGCCTACCGGGAGAAACCTAGGTAATCAATACTTCGACACAGCAGTCTTTGAGCTAAAGGGATGTTTGTAGTAGCGTATTAAACAAGAACAGGATTGTTGATGAACACGCGGCAGTCCTTACGTTTCAGTTTAGAAAGTGCCATAACTGCAGTGACGTCCTTTGGCACAGGCTTGGCACAGGCTTGGCACAGATTACCCATATTTTGGCAAAAAGTAGTAGGATGTAGCAGGGTTAGCCCCTTGGCACAGTTGGGCGCAGCAATCACATCACTGCAAACATACCCCCGGTGGAATTCTACACCAATCTTTTCTTACACTGCATTGCAACTGTTTTGAGTTGTTGGTACTTCAAGGATTTACCTACTGCAGGTTTTGCAAGGGCTCTTATGCTGTGTACTTTTTTTCTGCAAGCTTCATCTTCATAAAGCTTGGGAAATAAAATAAAACAGCAACAAAACAATAGTTACAAGGTTTAAAATTAACCAGCATGGCCTTTTGTCTGAGATAGGTTAACTACCCAAGAACACCTTTCAAGATACTGCAGAATTTTTAAGATTCTCAAAAGAATCTGATTTATCCAAAAAAAAAAAACAATAACTGAATAAACAGAGAATCTGAAATCTTATTCAGATTTTCTGATGAATCTGAATAATATTGAACTAGAACAGATGTTGATTATCTTAATATTTTCAATTGATATACTCTTTCATCAAAACAGTAAAAAAATAATTTTCTTATTGACCATGCTACCCAAAATGCAAAGGAACATGGCAACAAGAACCAAACCAATATCGTTGAAATGACAAAAAACAACTAAAGAGTTATGGCAGACCAAACACACCCACATCCTGAAAAATGAAAGTAGTACATGAATGCTGCTCTCATGCGTTACTAGAAAAATGCTTTTTTCCATCACCCAATGCCAACGAACTTTGATGGGCTTTGCAAGTAAAATGGGGAACTTGATAATACCCTGAACTTTAGGAACCTACACAAACACCGAAAAATAGCTTAAAAATAATTTTGCCTACCAAACAACTTACACAAACCTTAAAAAAAAAAAAAAAAAGCAATCTTGAGTGCATTTTAGACAACTCAACATCTCGCAGAAAACAACCTAAGGCAACAATAAGACTCTAAAGGCCTTCAAGAAAAGGCAAAAAGAACAAAGAATGGAATTTCAACAAATCACTGCAAGGTGCCTCAGCAAACTATTGGGAAACTCCATTTCCATTAGCAGCCGCAGTCCAGCAAGCTTCTGGAGGCGACATGACGCCACCAGAGGTGAAGCCAGAAGCATGGAGGGACACGCCCTCCAACGACGACCAAAACCAAGAGACGCTATTGGACGAAAAAGAGAGCCGACTCAACAGCTCTTCTTTTCTGTCCAATAGCGTCTTTTGGTTTTGGCCTTCGTTGGGGGCGTGTACCTTCACGCTTCCGGCTTCAACTCTTGTGGCGTCATGTAGCCTCCAGAAGCATCCTACCTCCATGGTGCTAACGGCAGCCCAGCTTTGGCAGCAATTTATCATAGCCCAAAACGAAGCAACGACCGAGAAGTGGATTGGCGCTAGGCAAAGGGGAAGGAGAAGGGTCTAGGAAGTCTAGGCAGCATGCCTGCAGTAGGAGCAAAAGTGCGGGTGGAATGAGTGAGCCAGTAGGCAACGCTGGCTACACTTCATGCGGTACATCACCTCGCTGGAAGGAGATCACCGTGTCACTCAGCTCCTCAATCATGTGAACGCGACGCCCTTTGATGCCCATCACTTTTCCAGCAACAATTCCGGGGCAGGCAAAACAGATGACAACAGGAGGTGGAGGGTCACACCACAATACAATGTCGCAATAGGCAGCTAGGCCACCCTTTGCTCAAATGCCCTATCACTCTTAATTAAGCAGGCATGGCAAGTAATCAAGCAGTTTGCTTCAATTGCTTCAATGTTCTACACACTGTTGGCTCCCTCCTATTTTACAACTTTTCATAGCTAACGTGACTTCTTGAAACGTCCTGGCCACAATTCGCGAGAAAGAGCAAAAATAAAATCTTGAAACTAAGTCACTCCCACCTTTTCCAGAGTCAGAGTTTCTAATGACAATTTCATCTTTCAGAAAGTTACGACCGGAAATTCTGAAAGAAGAAAACAAAAGCATGTGCGAAGTTAATTTTACACCCGACTCGCACGGTTATGCGCTCGTCGGAAATCGGAATAATGACCGTCTCCATTTTTTGGCCCACTTGTTTGCACTTACTTGGCAGGTTTTCCAAACTTCACCGAACTTTTGAGCACTTGGGTGGGCTGGAGAGAAAGCGGCGGTGATGCTGAGACAGAAAGGGACGCCTGCTGCAAAGGCCGAGTTGCATAGGCCAGCTGAGTTGACGACGAGTTTGCGAGTGGGGTAAAGTCGTAACTCTGGGAAATCTGCATTGAAGGAAGAAAAGCATCCATTCACAGATGAATGGGCCCATTTCATGCACCTATACTTTCAGCATTGCTGGAGAACACAAAAGCACAACAAGAGGTCATCTTAAAGCACTTCACGCCTGCACCAAGCTACATCGGCCCACACTCCTGTACTCGCACTAGCTGCCATAACCTAACAAATTGCTAGTCGTTTACAGGATAAGAACAATGTACATCTCGACTCCACCTCGAGCCCACGGCGTTTTGTAGTGTCCTCACCACGTGTGTGGATGCAAAGTTCAAGCAATGCTACGAAGAGCAGCGGGATTATGCAGACATCAAGACACCTCAAAATTACTGCCCCACTATCTAATCCAGTAACAAGACTGCCCCTATTGACCCAAGATGAACTTTCACTTCTACACATTCCTTTCTAGATACACCAATGAATCAAACATTGTTGATACAGATTTATTAACCCTACTAAGACAATGCAGTGATAAAGATGTGTTGCTACAGCAAGGATACAGTTCCCTCACAAAGCACTGAAGACAAAATAATCCTCCAAACCAGGTTAACAGCATCAGAAGGCATCGCCAGACAGTCAGGGTTTTCTGAAGAGATTCACCTCAAGTTCTATGTACTTGCGCTTGTAGTATTCTTCGAGATTCTCGTTGAACTTCCAGCCCATTGCACGTAACTCAATTACTTCCAGCAGCCTCAGACGATCCATCACATCAAGCCTTTCATCCCGAGAGGCATTGCGCAGGGTGACAAAATAACAGTCCAGTTGTTCTGGAATAGACTTGCTCAATATATTGCCTTGCATTTCCAGGACCTTAAAAGCATGTTCACTGTAAAATACCGCAGAAGCACCCACTTCGTTCAAGCGCCCACTATTAACATTTCACAAACTTGGGAAATCTGCTAATTATACGGAATGCTCCCGATTTGACCAGACAAGCGCCCATTTAACCCATTAATCAGTGAAAGTAGGGTGGGTGCTGCCCCGGTGTTTTACGGTAGTTATATTTTCATTTAAGAACAGCATTCCAACTAGTAAATAAATAAGAAAACCTTGAAGGGATACTTCAACGAAATTTGAAATATTCCCGTCATGTTAAAAAATAGGTTGAATATGATCCACAATATCCGTAAATGGCAATCGCACGTTTGTATTTTGAACCTGGTGGCTGTATTTTTTGTTATACACGGCCCACTCTGGCAAGCGCTCGGAGAAGGCCCAGCGGAGACCTTGTGACATCCAACGCAATCGTGACGTAGGTCGTCTCAAGACGAGCAAAGCTACGGCGAGGCTGACGTCAAAAGGATGGCCTAGTCGTTCCAGCCACCGAAGCGGCTGCTTTTGTCCGAATTTTGAGTGACGGGTTAATCTTCCATAATCTTGTAGGGGGACAATAGCGACTTCTGCGACACACAAACAGCATTCTCGGGAAGAGGGGAGTTCCTCGTTCCCCTCTTCTCTCGTCGTGGCCGGAGGCGAGACACTCACCGTCACTAGCTGTCAAGGTTCATAGACGGGCATTACAAGCGAGGCGTTAGCGACATCCACCAGGTGCTCTTTGCTAATCGTTTAATTTGTTTTAAAATACCTTTTCGAGACTTTTTTTTAACAAGATATTGGTACGCTCGATGTGATACTGCTCCTTTGAACACATATAGACCAAAAAATGAGCGGCGAAATTTCGTTGTAGTATCCCTTTAAAGTGGTACTGAAACCTTCCCTTCTGCCCCCCCCCCCCTTAAGAAATGCTTTATTTGCATGAAACACTAGATTACGCCGTCTATACTTCGTTTCATGATAACTTGGCAAACTGTAGAGGCTAGGGCCCCGCGACCCAATAACAGCGTCGGAGTGAGGCACGTGACCCAACGTCACGGGAACATTTGTGTCACTACACTAAATTAAAGTCCAGTGACTTTACGCCAAATAAGGCGCGAGGCCCGGGAGAAGCGGCTGACGTCTGCTAGACAAGAATTGTCTGCTCCGAAACCAACCAACTTCGGATGAAAATCCACCACAGCAACATTTCCGTCCACTAGAATAACAAGCACTTCGGGAACAGTTCATGAGGCAACCAAACGCTCAATTCAGCCGCATTTCTGTGGCAGGTGCTAATGCCAGGCCACAGCGTACTGTTTTGAGCGGAAACAGCCGACCACACGGACGCGACCGCCGGCAATCGCCAACGATCACGGTGCTACAAGAAGAAAAAAATCGGGAGTTGATACGGATGTGACATCACTTTTTTGGTTTAAATATAAATGAAACTCATAAATTTATGATTATTTATTCTTCATATCTTCTCGTTAGAAATGGAAGTGCGAGAGTTCAATTGCCGTTAAAAGAAAAAGAAGCCTAGAACTACTTTTTGCTGCAAACGGCTCTGTTGCTGTGGCGGTGGCGAGGCCCCCCGTCGCCTCGGCTATGGAGTGTTATCACGTGCCTTGCTCGGGCGCTCTTGTTGGGTCGCATGGGCCACAGCCTCCACAGTTTGCCAGGTTATCGTGAAACGGAGTATAAACAGTACCAAAACTTTTCTTTCAGCTGCAGAGTGAAATATTTTCGGAGAAAAGCAAAGTCAAACTGAAAGTAAAGGGCCAGCAAAGGGGCCTTGTGTTGCCAGTTTGTGGCATTTGCAGGGAATGATCAAACATGACAATGAGCACAAAATATTCTTAAATCAATGTGTTTTTGCCATTTCAGTGGTCATAGCAAATGATGCTTTATGGATCCTTTTACTTCAATTAATGAGCATGTGCCTTGGATGGCCTACAACCTGGAAAATATATTGTGCATTGTTTCATCACTGCACATGACCAAACAAAAGAGACAGAGCAGACTTGAACACCGGATGCTTGACCAGCAATTTTTACTTGGAGAAAAGCCAGATTTAGAGCCTAACTCTTTTTTTTTTTTTTTGTGGGTAGATGGGCCCCTGTAGATTGTGTTGGAGTAAAAATCTCGGCAAGCCGAAATATATTATCAGTGTCGCTTCAAATGTTCACAAAATATATCACTGCAGATAATTAAATCCCAGGGTTGCCAAACCCAACCTGTTCAGGCTGCTTCTCTTGAAAAGCAAACCAGCTGAAAAAGGTACATGTCACCATGATCTTCCATCCATTTAGAATAAGAGAACAAGCATATGCTTATTTTCTTTGCACTTTTTGACAGAAATATAGCAGTTTTTTTTTAATCTTTTTTACTTCCAGATTTATCACTACCTGGACTGCTATAAAATCATTATTCATAAATAACTGTGTAAAATACAATTTTATCTGTTGCGTTAAATTGTTTCAGGAGATGATTCTAGCACTTTTGACAATACATGAAAATTGAAGTAAGATATGGCAAAGTGTCGGCAAGTTGTCCTTTACAGAGATTCAAAGGAACAATAAATTCCATGAAACCTTCATCACACCAACATTACAGATAGCATTGGCTGTTTTTGATTAAACTTTTTGGGGCATTTCCAAGGAGAGAAGGAAAGTGCATGCGCAGCTTTACCGTAGAATGCCATGCATCTGCCCATTCCACACTAAGTGCCCAACCCAAAAATTTTAAACACCTGAAAAAAAAAAAAAAAAAATGCACCGTACAAACATATGTCAAATTGATGACCTCACTGCGCCCATCCCCCATTTTTTATTATCTTCAAATTTTGAGTGGGCGCTTGCTCAATATCTTACGGTAATCAGAGCTCGGAATGGGAGAGGGCATGCATGCCCGTACCTGACTGCATTGCCAAGAAAAGTTGTCCCCCAGTATAGTTTGAAACTTAAGGGTGATTACGTAATAGTTAGACATTACAGAACCAAAGACAAAGGATAAAAAAAAGACAAACATTCAGCACAAACTGGGTACACAAGAAGCTACTAAAAACAAATGTGTGCAAAAGAAAAAAAAGAAAAAACTTTTAGCATAATAGTAGAAACAAGTGCAACACCCAAACTACACAGTTCACTATGTTTTATTCAATTAACAAAAAAACAAACAAAAAACCCATGAGGATTACCCAGCACTATGAACGAGTAACTCAACCCCTACATACGGCATTAAAAAAAAAAAAAAAGAATCCTTGGTACACGAAACGGGAACACAAAATAATTATGTGTTCCTGTTTACTTCATTGATATTTCTCAACTTTGCACCTGTTCTCATATTTTTCAAGATGTCACATTATTGAATGTTTGTGCCTAGTGAGATCCAAATTGCGAAACAGCTAGACTGCAACGTGTAACACGCTCAGAAGGTAGGATAGCAAGTAAGGTGTAGAATATGTCACTATACTCTGTCTCATCCTACGATGGACTGAAGCCTGATGCTACAGGCCGCCGGGTCTAATTACGAGCCTGTTAGAAACCATGTGGTATAGCTGCTCCGTTGTACGTATCAGTGCGCCAAGACACGTCATGCGAGGCGAGTTTTTCGTTGGCTTATTGAGCCCTCGTGGCGGCTCCGTCTGCTTGCTGCCTGGAGACTAGTGAAGGGATTAGATACCATTTAGAAGCGATGTGGCAAAGAGAACCTCGGATAAGAAAACAGTGGCCATTAAGAAACGAAGATGAGTCGGATCGGTATTCAACACAGGAGTGTATGTACGGACCCAGTGCGGAAGGGAGATTGCACTGGACTGCTATGGCTAAGGCGAAACGACTTTATGTCAGTGTTGCCAGCGCACCCTCCAACTTCTCCAAACAATTCACGTGTTTACGAAATATGGCATGAATGTTTATGAAACTGAATGCCATGTACCTTGGCTTCACCAATATAAAATAGCGCACTATCACAACCGAGAACCATATGCGCAAGATTAGTGCTCTTCGTACTCTGCGTGTTAGAATTTCTTTCACGCACTCTTTTGCAATGCAAATGCAAAATTTTCAGAGGTAGTGCTCTGCCCGCCAGCCTTCAGGCCCTAGTTTATCGTAGGGCGAGACGGAGTTAGGTCTCACTGTGCTGTCTAAACGGAATGAAACGCAAATGCCAGAACACATGCCCTTGGCTGCATACTGCACGCCCTGGAGGTTGATAAAACTGTGAAGTGGAGAGGGAAGGCAAGAGAAGCACTTTCTGTGACATGCACACTGCACATCCTCGCAGCCCCTCTCCTTTCTCCACCCTCTCTCTCCACGCCATTGTTTTACTGCCTTCAGATAGCCCAGCATGTACTGAAGGCCATGCACTCTGGCATTTTATTGTTTTGATAGTGCGCACATTTCAGGGTTAATGACTCATTGGGTTTGAGTTCCAAAGCACCATGAGGCACAAAAATATTGCTACTGCCAAACGAGAAAATCATGGCTAGAATTTCATACCTTGTCAAGAACATTACTATAGCAACGCATACAAAAGTAAGTAAAAAAAAAAACTTGACATTTTCACAAAACCGCTACCTTTGAATGACGATTCAATAAGGGCTCCTTTTAACTTGAGGAGATTGCAGACATGAACAATCTGAGACAAAGTTGTCTTGTCCAGGTTGCCATTGTTCACAGATATATGAAGTCCTTCCAGCTCGCTCAGTATCTCCTCGTCTGCAAGTCAATTTGGGAGTACTCAATGACATGTTACTTTTCAGATTCAATGGAATGAGAACATGGGGAAACTAACGAGGTACTTCAGCTTTCTCAAGAACGTCCAGCTTACCCGTTGTACCGTTTCGTAGCGGTGCGTTGTCAGTGGGGCTGAGAGTGCCTGTTGAACCTTTCTCCTGATCTGAATTTAGGTGAAGCGGACGAGGTCGTTCCAGTTTACGAATGCCTTTCATCGACTTGCCAGACATGGTGACCTACAGCAGTCGACGACAGATAAACAGTGCTTCGGAGGATGGATAGGACCTCATCATCTCCCTCCTACACGGACCCTTGTATAGAATGACAATATTTAAAGAATGATATTCGGCTACAGTATTCAATCTCTAAACTCGGCGTAAGAGCTTGAACAAAAAATGGGCGCGGAGGTTAAGATTCTCCTGAAATGAGGTAGATGTGTTGCAAAAACAGTTTCTTTTTTTCACAACGGCTGGTTTATTAGGTTCACTGTCCGAAGATAGTCATACATGACACGCCGCAAAGAAAATGTGATAAATTTCGCCAGCTCTCTTGGTGTCGAGTTCATGGCAATGGTTCAGTTAGATGACACGCAATGCCAACATGCAGGAACGCACAGGGAAGTTGGCGCACAATCGTCGCAATGCATGCCAACACCGGCCGAGACCCAAATCACGGTTCAGTGGAAATTTTTTGCAGTCGTGCCTTCCCGAGCACTTTAATATCTGGTTGGGAGCATGTGTAACTTACGCAACCTATTTTTTTTTTTTTTTTTTTTAAACAGCGCGAATAACACACGGGCAAGAAGGAGAGAACACACAGGACGAGGCGCTGTGCGTTCTCTCCTGTGTCGTCCTGTGAGAGAACACACAGGACGACCTACTCCTGTCATAGCGCGTGGCATTCTAAGCACTTTATTTTCACACGACATACAAACGAGAAACCTTTTAAGCCAAAATTGCGCACGAAATACTGAATAACTAATGCACTTCGTTCTGCATTCTCATATCCACCATGCTCCGGTAAAATAAATGTTGCTTTCTAATTGTTGCTTTTTTTAAACGCGCGATGTTCGAACGCTACTTTTGGTCACACCACGTACGGTTAGCCTCACGAACCGCTACGCGGTGCTTAACAAACAAACAATTTCGCAAAGAGAGACGACTGGGAAAACGCGAAAGTAGTGAAGCAGTCCTTACGAAATAATCCGACAAGGCAACGAAAAAGTCAGGCAAACCTTGACCACGAACACTTCTAGGCTGAAAGCGCCGAAGATCATGGAAGCTGCGTCGTCGATGCCCCGCAGTTACTACCCATCAGTAAAAAAACAAAAGCAAAATGTATGTACTCACTGAATATATTCTTAGATAAAAAAAAAAGTCTTAAATATATAAATTTCTTTTTTTTACATTCTAATATGTCAAAAATAATTTCTACGATGCAAAGCGCCGGAGAAGCGTTTTGGCGGCAGTTTTGAATCAACGGTTCTTAAAAGCCAATATCTCTAAATTTATTTTACAGATTCGCTTTTCTTGTCATCGGGTAAGATTTGATTTACATTCCTGCCATGTACCTTATAACACAGACAGGGGGATAAAGGTGGGTGAGGAGGAGTGGTAAATCCCGTGCGCCGCCGACATTCTGGGTCCCGAGTGAAAGATCGCGAAAGAGAGCGACAGAACACGAGAGAAAGAAACCAACGTTGCCAGCTGAAGGACGACAGTCGCGATGGTAATCGCGAAGACTGAAAACTCTCAGCAATATAAACAGTGATAATTTAACGTTGTAAACTAAATTCTGAGCTATTCGAACGCTTATAAAAAGCAGTATAGTCATTACGCTGCATCAATTTTCCTTCTGTTAAAATCTCGGAATTCTGGTGGTTGCTCGGTTTCGTATTCCTGGGGCGCGGCCAGGCGCGGCTAGGCGCGGCCACCCGCGAAGTCGGAATATCTGGTTTAGTTTAGTTTTGACGGGAGGCCGTACATGTGCGGGCTATGCAAAAAGAAAGCTTTGAAAGGAACGCGAATATCTTTTCACCGGTAAGTTCGTTGATTGTTGAAGTTCATGACACTGCTCTGATGATATAATTATATTCGTGAAATCGTAGGCAGGTTGGTAACCATGTGTGGGACCCCGAGGGTCTGCCTGCAAGCTCCGCCGCTTGCGGCAGCCAGAATGCATGGGAAATGGCGGACCTTTTCCTCTAGAGTTAGTATGTATGATCTCCATGAACACAGATGATACTTTGTGGACTTTTTGATAAAAATGAAAGACGTTTACAATTCCCTGTAACACCGAATTAGAGCGCAGCTCTTGAGGATGAGAAGGGGAGGGTACGGGGGGAGGGTATGCCCCTCCTCCTCTCCTGCTCCTCTCCCATTTAGCAGGAAATTTTCGCTATATTTCCCGCTAAATTCATTAAAAAAAATTCCCCACTAAATTTAGCGGGGAAACTTTTCTGCTAAATGTAACAGGGAAAATTTTCTACTAAACTTAGCAGGGAATTATTTTCGCTAAATGTAGCGGGAAAACTTTTTCCGCTAAATTTAGCAGGAAATGTTTTCCGCTAAATTTTGCGGGGAATTATTTCTGCTAAATTTAGCAGGAAAATTTTGTTGCTAAATTTAGCGTAGAATTCTTCCGCTAAATTTGGCGGGCAATTTTTTCCGCTAAATTTAACGGGGAAATTTTTTCACTAAATTTAGCGGGGAACGTTTTCCACTAAATTTAGCAGGGAAAATTTTCCGCTAAATAGACCCTTCCAGAAATTCAGTGCCGTCTGGTCACTCAAATGGCAGTTTAACTTTTACCGTACTAATGGCGACAATGAAAATGTAGTCTGCCATATTTTGTCGGGCGCCGTCACTTTCACAAGTCAACGGCAAACGACAGTGTGTACTTCATTGCAGATTTCTTTCTCGGTCTCTTTCAGTGTCGATAGAAACAAAGATGCAATTGACCAGTCAATACGAAGCGTCAACCCACGTACACGGCTTGATAAAGCTCTACTATAGTGGCTTAAAGGGATACTACAACGGAATTTCGGCGCTCATTTTTTTGTCTATGTGTGTTCAAGGAGCAGTACCACATCGAGCGTACCAATATCTTGTTAAAAAAAAGTCACGAAAAGGAATTTGAAAACGTATTAAACGATTAGCAAAGAGCACCTGGTGGATGTCGCTAACGCCTCACTTGTAATGCCCGTCTATGTACCTTGACAGCTAATGACGGTGAGTGTCTCGCCTCCGGCCACGACGAGAGAAGAGGGGAAGGATGAACTCCCCTCTTCCCGAGAATGCCTTTTGTGTCACGCAGAAGTCGCTATTGTCCCCCTACAAGATTATGGAAGATTAACCCGTCACTCAAAATTCGTACAAAAGCAGCCGCTTCGGTGGCTGGAACGACTAGGCCATCCTCTCGACGTCAGCCTCGCCGTAGCTTTGCTCGTCCCGAGACGACCTACGTCACGATTGCGTTGGATGTCACGTGGTCTCCGCTGGGCCTTCTCCGAGCGTTTGCCAGAGTGGGCCGTTTATAACGAAAAATACAGCCACCAGGCTCAAAATACAAACGTGCGATTGTCATTTACGGATATTGTGGATCATATTCAACCTATTTTTGAACATGACGGGAATATTTCAAATTTCGTTGAAGTATCCCTTTAAGACCTATAGGTGGTATTCACTGAGCCTGCAGGTTCGATTTTGCCAGGGAGCGCCATCGCCGATCCGCCATCTTCAAGGTCACGGTTTGACTGGCTATGAGAGCACAATTCTACCCAGAACAGAATTTGCGGCTCGAAATTCGGTTTCTTTCCGCCCGAAAACCGCCGGTCGAGAACTGGCAGGTTTGAGTCGCGCTCACTCTCTTTTCCGCGGTCACGGGGCGTTTTCTAAACTTTAGACCCGACCACCAAATTTAATCGAAATCGCAGGTCATTAAAGACGCAGTCAATATTAAAAAAAAGAAAGAAAAAAATATGAAACCCATTTTTTGTGGCTTCCAAAAAGCTGGAAACACGTTGATTGAAAAAAAAAAAAAAAAGGTAGCACAGACAACCGGACGCATTCTGTGCGTTCACTGCATAATTCTCAACATGGCGTCGTTTCGCGTATCGTGGGACTAGCGGATAACAGCAGACGACAGGCGTGGGACCTCTACTTCAGAACTGTCGTTCACGGTACTGGCGAATTCTGTCTTCCTTCGAAAGAGAAATTTTGGACCGATCAAAAGAATTCATCTTTATCCCGTACGACACGCCCGACAAGCCAGCCGATTGCACGAAGACGTCGCCGAGCCGTCGTCAGTTCTAGTGGTTGAAGACATCGCTCGCTCAAACCGAAACGTCAAGCACGAAGTGCGTACTTCGAGTTGAATACGCACGCGTACGGTTTCTTATACTAGGTGCGAATGTGGCCTATGCGTGGCGGCCCGACTTCAAGCTGGGAGGGAAATCGGCAGCAAACTTCCGACATACAGTCGACCGGCTGCATCACTACGAATGGAGTCCTTACAGTAGCTCAGGGATTCCCCTTACGGCACTCGAACGAGACGGACGTGTTATCATGAGCTCCGTCGGAGCGGTGAAAACGGCCGCGTCAGGCCGTGGTACACGTCTGTTTCTGGAACCGCTGTCGATTATCAGATAATACTGCCCCAACTGCTAACAGGATACGTTATTACCAATACTGTGTTCCTGCACTGCGACGTAAAAGGACGACCCTACCGAGTGCAAGACTTTGGTCAGGAACTCGAGAGGCTGGATCTGATGAAGGACCTGGCAAGCGCCGGTCCTTACCAGATGAGCCACGTCTGGATGATCCGGTTGCACTCGCTTGCGGCGAAGCAGAGGTTGGTTGACGCCAAGGAGCTCATCATCAAAGGGGGGCGTCGCCTTGTTATTGACCCGGCGAACACATCCGTGAAGCTGAAGCTTCACTGGGTCCCGTACGACGTGCCCAACAGCCAGGTGACGAAGGAGCTGGAACGCTACGGCGAGGTCTCCGAGATCACCAGGGACCTCTTCCGGGAGAAAGGATTTGAGGCTGTCAAATCCAACACCCGCAGTGTACGCCTGACCCTCAAGAACGGCTACACCGCCGACAGCCTCCCGCACGAGATCCGCTTGGAGGGGTGCAAGGTATGTACTTGTCGTGGTCCCCGGACGTGCACCGCTCTACTTCGCTGACGCCGAATGGGACACATTCGCCGGGTCTGTTCCGCCCCCCGTTGCTCTGAATGCCACCGTTACGGGCACGAGGCAGAGAACTGCGTCAAGACTTATGCCTCGATGGCCCGTGACCGCAAGACGGAAGAACAGGCCGACTACGTGATGGGCGACGCTGAAGCGGAGGAGGCGGTCGGTGCTTCCGCCCTGGTCGCACTACCGCTGTCCGAAGGCATCGGGTGAGCTGCCACAGAAGAAAGCGTTCAACAGGTCTTGGTGGCTGAGCCAAGCAATTCCGAGCCTGCGCCCCAAGGTGCGGGAGCGAAAGGCGAGAAGAGGGAAGAACCACCGGCTCAAGAGCGAGCGCGCACAGCGAGCGCACCGAGGGACTGCGACGACGGCAATGGTAGTCGTGACCCCAAGGCTCCCGTGCCGGACACGGACGTTGTGATGAGCCAGGTCGTCAAGAGACTACGAGACCCAACATCATCCCCGGGAGACGCTGCAGCAGGGAAAGACGTCAAGCAGCAGTGGCCGAGCCCAAAAAGAGTCGTCCTGGTCAAGCCTCGCTTCCCGTTCGACAGAACTCAGTGAGTCTCCTTCCGTGAAAAGGAAATGATGCTCTTCGACCCGGGCACGCGTGATCTTCACGACCCCATTCGATTCGCGACATTAAACGTCCGCGGCTTCAACTCGCGGAAAAAACACTATCAGCTCCAGCGGCTACTAGCTGAAGAAGAAATAGATTTTTTCGCCCTACAAGAAACAAAAATGTCCTCTGACCATTCTTAGTCGTTACGAAATTTGCGTTAGTCATTCGGTTGGAATGTCTACGGGCTGCTTTAAAAAAAAAAAAAAATAAATAAATAAATAAAGGTCCGTGTTATTGCGAGACTTGACCGTTGTGACAGACGAATGTGGCCGTTTCATATTGTGTGACTTTATTTTGATTAATCGCGACTGGCGGGTCATATGCGTCTACGCGCCCAACAGGGTTTTTTGAATTTTTTTAACAATATTTGCAATGCGAGAAAGTTGTGGTAATCATGGGAGACTTTAACTGTGTCTGCAGTCCGGAAGATAGCACATCGATCAGGGAACGCCGCGATAAGAGCGCAGAAATACTGACC